ATAAAAGGGTAATATGCAAATTGTTGGGATGCCCTCACGCAACAACTGAACAGCAGGCTGCATGGGGCAACCAGGCCGGTGGGGGGCAGTGAGGGGCAACCAACCGACCGAACAGCAGGGGGGCATCAGACCAGGCTCTAGGGGTTTGTGGCGATCAGGCAGGCAGAGGCCGTTAGGGGCAAACAGGCAGGCAGGCGAGCGATTGGAGCCAGCAGTCCCAGATTGTAAGAGGGATGTCCGACTGCCAGTTTAGGCCCGATCCCTGGGATTGGGCCTAAACTGTCAGTCGGACATCCCCTGAGGGGTCCCAGATTGGAGAGGGTGCAGGCTGGGCTGAGGTCCCCCCTGCCACCCCCCCACTTGAATTTCATGCACCGGGCCTCGTGTGTGTGTGTGTGTGTGTGTGTGTGTGTGTGTGTGTATGACAAAGAAAGGTTAAGAAAAAATGAGATTTATAGCTGGGTGACATTTATGCACACATTTTAAAAATGCACATGAAATATTTTTTTTTCATGGATGCATATTTATATAGCTAAATATGGAGAAAGTGGACTGGGAAGATCTGTATTCATTAAGAATATAGTATGAGAGAGTGGATAAAGAACAAGGGCAAAAGACAAAGGTCCAGCAACCCCAAGGACAGCGGGAAGCCAAGAGTGGAGAATTGGGGGCCTCTCTGATCACCCCGGATATTCAGGAATCCAATGGGGGGAGAGGTTCCAAATAAAAGTCAAGATGTTGCAAGTGGCATGGTTTAAAAGCTGGATGGCTGACAAGGAAACTCACAGGCTTGAAGCAGAGAAATGAGAGTGAAGGAAACCAAAAGTGAAACTAATCAAATCACTCTGCTAAGTGAGCAAGAGAAACTCCCTTCATCCCAACTGGTAAGTTTCCTGTAACATGGTTAGCATTGTGGATTTACGGTTTATTTTGGAAGCCAAGAATTTGATAATATATCTGTCTTTGTTCTGTTAAGGGCCTTTGAATATATGTCCTCCATCTATAGCAACCCATCAGAATTTTTTCTTAGAACATAGGTAACTCAGTCTGCTCACTATCCCATAACCTCTGGCTTCCAGAATAAGAGAGAATCCTGGGGCCAAGTGAGGTGATGCTTCTCACTGCAGTGGAACCGATGTTCCTCAGCTCAAGGGCTGCCTTGATATGGGGAAAGCAGGTGGGACAGAGAGGGACTGGCCCCAGTGATATCAGTCCAAATATGGCATTCACTGCCCTCTAGGCCCTGACAGCAAATATCAGGTCTCCCAGAAAGCTACAACTGGAACGTAGCCAAAGTGCAATTGTGTAGTTTACTTCCCTTGGAGGAAAATCTAAGAAAGGGTTGACAGGGCCTGAGAATTGCCCAAAGTCACGGTAAGTCAGGGACAGAGCTGGATTTGGTAGTCAGAGCTTCTGGTTGCCCTGGCTATGGCTGGGGAAGATTTTTCCCAGCCAGGACCACCAGATTAGCTCCAAGAAAGGAAATGTAATTGTCCCCTTAGGCCTCCGGTCGGCAAACTCGGCTCGCGAGCCACATGCGGCTATTTGGCTCCTTGAGTGTGGCTCTTCCACAAAATACCATGTGCGGGCACGCAAATACAGTGCGATTGAAACTTCGTGGCCCATGCGCAGAAGTTGGTATTTTGTGGAAGAGCCACACTCAAGGGGCCAAAGAGCCGCATGTGGCTCGCGAGTCTAGTCGCAGTTTGCCAACCGCTGCCTTAGGCAAACTGCTGGGGCTGGATGCCTTCTTTGATGGTCTTGAGTTCATCCCAGTGCCTCTGGGCTAAAATGCGCCCAAAGAAACTCAAATTGATCATTCTGGGCATTTTCTCTCTTTCATCATACTATAACACAAAACAGTATTCTCTAAGTCTATGACCATTTCTATCCCTTGCCACCTAAGCCACCTGACACAGCTGTAAAGCTCTTATGAGACATGGTGCTGACTTCAAGAAAGAAATACAAATTCAAATATTGGCTTTTTATTGAAGCCAGGGAATGCATTGCTCTCCTAATCAAGTATTACATACACAATTCCCCAGTACCAAAGGAGACAAAACCAAATAGAGGAGACAATTTAGCTTTTTATTTAATTGCCAATATATTATATAATCAAGCACATACACACTTTTGGGACCTTCCTCTCTCTTTTATCACCCAAGGAGGGTGGGGAGCAGGAGGTGGCTGGATAGGCAACACACACATCCTCTGAGCTTGGCAGACACTACTGGTCTCTGCTGAGTCTTCCAGTTCCAGGCCAGAAAATTAAACTCCTCTTAAATAAATTACTAGGAAAGATGCCTCAACCCTGAAGAAGTAGACTCAGCAGAAGTGAGAGGAGAACAAATGCAACCTGAGCTCCAATGACAGTTAAAAAAGAGAGGCCAAGAACAGCAGAAATATACTCAAACCTGCAATACAAACACCCATCCCCTCCAAGAGCATGCACGCTTTAGCACCGGGTGGTCATGTGAACAGTGGGCAGTGCCTTCCGAAACCCTCATTCCCACTCTCCCTGGCCTCCCCTATGATGTGTGGAGCCGCAACATTTTCTGTATGAACTCAGCACACAGCACTATGAACAGAATGGAACTAGATGGACCTTTGGGAATTAAGGATCTTTTATTTACTTTCTAAAACCAGTATTAAAATGAGATCATATTCTTTCTGATGATTTCACCTGAAAATTTTGGGGTCCAGAGTATATGGCAAAGGGGATGGTACTGGCTGGAAGGAAGCAATAACCTAAGCTGTCGAAGTGAATCAGAGTTGCTGATAGGATGCGAGAGGGACGAGTGGTGGAGGCAGATCTGCAGTGTTGACATGTCTTTTTAGCATGGGGAGAAGAAAAGGGAGTCACACAGGCCCTCTGTAACAAAAACCGGCTCCTGGGGAGAGAGGTTCTGACAGTGCGTTAGAGGAGCAGTAGCTAGCCGGCAGGAGATAAGGAGAGTGGGGTACATGAGAAGGGGCAGAGAGTGGGGCAGGCATATTAGGTCTGAAAGACAAGCAAAGAGGAGGGGGGAGCTCCAAGGTCATGACCAAGTCTAACTCCCCTCTCCCATCCCACTGTTCCCTGTGCTATCCCACACATCAGCTTTCTGGGAGAAGTTCCCAGGAAAGACTGAAATGAAATGATTAGGGCAAGTGAGAGTGTGAAAGATGAGAAAGCTGGAGTGGGGCAGGTGGAGATGCTGGGGAGACTATGCACTGAAAGGGGAAACGGGACTCTTGGGAGTGGGGACTGTCTCTACCTTGTCCCAAGGTCTGAAGTGCAGGGTAAACAGGCCACGAAGAGGCGTTTGGGAGGGAGAAATGGCTCTTGCTGTGTGTGTGTGTGTGTGTGTGTGTGTGTGAGAGAGAGTGAGAGAGTGAGAGAGAGAGAGAGAGAGAGAGAGAGATTGGCCCTTCTTTTCCGTCTTATCACCAGTCCTAGAGTCCAGATGAGGGATGAAGTATGTGTGAACCTAGAGGTGGGAATAAAGGAAGCTAAGTGTGTATTGGGGGGGCCCGTGAGAAACTTGAGATCTGGTGGTAGAGTGGGGGGGGAGGTCGGGGGGAGAGGCCCAGAAACCCATGACAGTTCTTGTGCTTCTGCTTCCTGTCCTGGGAGTAAAGTGTGAGAGGAGGGTGGTGGTCCTGGCCACTAGTTCTAAGAGACAGGGATGGGGCAGCCAGTGATGTGGGGAAGGACCTGGCCCCACGTGCTCAGGGGGATAAACCATCTTCGAGGAAGGATTCCTGAAGCTCTGGGCAGAGAAGAAAGGTTTAAGGCTCTGGATGTACATCTGAGAAATACAAAGGATTAGCAAGCTCGAGAACTGAAGCGGTGAGAAGTGAGAGCAGGGTCAAACATCTCACTGCTGGATGCAAGAGGGGAGGGGCCCTGCTCCCAGAGCTGGTGTAGGTTCTGGGGGCCAGAGGAGCGGATCCAGGGAGCGTCTTGGAGTTCTGAGTGTGTGTACCTGGGAAGCCGGGCAGGGAAGGTGTTCTCTCTGGTAGAGCAGAAGGAAAATAAAGGGGCAGGAGGAGGCCAGGCCCAGGTCTCACAGGAAGCTGATGTGCAGGATGACAGTCACAGGGGAGGGCAGGCGATACGAGTTAACCACAAGGGGCTCTGTGGGGATATCGGCGGCCCCCGGAGGCAGAGGGGAGGGTGAGAGAGCAGGAGGGGCTGGTCCTGTAGGGACAGCTGTGGGGCTGTGGGGAGGAAACCTTCCCTGGCCCGCACGCGCGTGTGTACGTGTGTGAGATTGCTGGTTTTCCAGAGCCTGAGCTGGGGACGACAGCAGCGAGTGATCTGCAAAGGATGGAGGGTGTGAGCTCTCTGGGCCCAGGCTGAGGCGTGAAGAAAGGGCCCTTGACAAGGGCTGAGTAGGTCCACGCTCACCCCGACACCCGTGCTTGGATCCCGCTATCCGGTGGGGACCCCGGTACAGTATGAGGGCAGCCTCCCCGCCCCGACTGTGTGGGAAGGAACTTAGCGGACACTCCAGGTGGGTGAGGCGTGCGCAGGGGGCTACCCCCGTCTCGGTGCCAGGCTCACACAGTCCTGGCCTCGGAGACTGGCAGGCTGTGCTGAAAGCAAGTTTCTGACCGGGGGTTTTCCATACACTGTGTTGTGAGGTGCTCTGAGCTGAGCTGGGGCAGCAGAGCCCCTCCCCAGCCGCAGTCTGTACCAATGGTGCCGTGAAACCGAGACCTGGGAGAGGGGAAGGTCAGAGCCCTGCACCAGGTGGTCTTCGGTCCTATGGGTTTGGGCCGAGGACACCTTCGCCCCTCCGCCCTAGCTCCGAGCCGCTCCGTGGCGTACCTGCTCGCCGGCACCCACGCTGTAGTAGCCGCACGTCACCAACTCCCAGTGCAGGAAGCAGACCAGCGCGTCCTGCGCACAGGTGATCGCCGGCGCCGCCGACGCGAACAGAACCTCCAAGCCCGCCATGCGTGCCCCCGGCTTCTGCGGGCAGAGGAAGGGAGTGAGGAAGTGCGGCGAGCCGACCGGCCCTCCGGGGACTGATGACTCCGCACCGATAATCCACTCGCTCCAGCTGCTCCCACCCACAGCCAAAATGGAGACGCCCTCGGGTAAGGGGGCGAGGCTGCCGGAAGTAGCTCTAAAGCGGGGCGCAGCTGCCTGAGCGCGTCCGGGCTGGAAACATGAGCGCAACACTTAAAGGTTCCGCCAGTCAGTGCGCGGGCGGGCGGGGCGGGGCAGGGTCCCCAGCTGGAATCCCGACCTTCCCAGGTTGCTAGCAAGACCACTGCAGGTAGGGTGTTGCGTCCTGGAGGAGAGGCCCCCTTCTTCTGAGCCACAGACTTCCCTTCCGCAGAATGGGATAGGCGCATGCTAATGGGGGGGGAGATGTTATGAAATATGGCAAAAAATAATAGTAATGGCCTCTTAGTCATTTCTTACTATGTGCCACATTATTCGAAATGCTTCACTACTTGTATTCATTTATTTAATCCTCATGACCCATATAAACTTGGTATTATAGCCCCATTTTACAGTTGGGTAAACAAAAATGCAAAGGGTTAAATTTGACCAAGATAACACAGCCATACAGTGAGTATGGCAGAGATGGAATTAGGACTTAGCTGACTGGCTCCTAGAATAGCATTTTTATTATTTTTAATCCTCACCTAAGGATATTTTTTTCCATTGATTTTTAAAGAGAATGGAGGGTAGGGAAGAGGGAGAGAGAGAAAAACATCAACGGGAGAGAGACACATGGATTGGTTGCCTACCCTATGTGCCCGGACCAGAGCAGGGGATCAAACCTGCAACCGAGGCATGTGCCCTTGACTGGGAATCGAGCCCACAACCCTTCTGTCAATGGGCCGAGGCAACCACTGAGCAATCGCCTGGGCTAGGATAGCATTTATTAAATGTTTATTGTGTACAAGATGCTGTGCCAAAACCTTTACATCACCCTAACAACAATTCTGAGGTATGTTCCATTATCACCTCCATTTTGCAGATGATAGAACCAGCTCAGAGAATCAAGGCCACTTCCCCCAAGAAAACAGCTGCCTGCCAAGAGCTGAAGTTCCTGATCTACTACTGAATTTCCATAGTTTATTTGCTTGTCTCCTTCATGATTTTTACCACCTATTATTTCTCCAACAGGTTTCTTGAAATCTAGTTTCCCATCCCAGTCAGCAATTGGCTGCAAGCCATTGTCCTCTCTCATGTTGATGCCTATGCTAACCTCTGAACTGCCCTCTCCTGAACGTCTGTCCTACGTTCTGCAACTATAGATTACATTGAACATACGCTAGCTCACATCCCACCTCTGCTCAAAACTCCCAGCGCTCCCATCACACTCAAAGGAAAAGTAAAGTCCTCCCTATGGTCTGCAGGAACCTGCATGTGGTCTGCACCCCCATCCCTCACTCAACACTTAACTCTCTCTGACATTAGCTACTCTAACTCTCCCCTCATCACCTGCATTCTTGGTTGCAATAATCTTTTTTAACCAAAAAATATTTATTTACACAAACGGGCAGTGGAGCAGATTTGGCCAACCTGCGATTTAGATGGAAGTATTTATCCAGTAATAACAAAGGGACTACTAATAAGTTGAAGGCCAATTTACCTTTTACCAAGGAACCAGTATCTAATATAGTGTTCTTGGGGTCAATTATACATTTTAAAGATACAGATATGTAATATTGATCTTTATGAACATAGAATAACCTCTACTAAGGATTTAAAAATTTATTACAAAAATTCAGGGCACAAAATTTCATTTTGAAATGTTGCATTGGTTGCAATAATCTTGACTCCCATCTTCTCTCACACCCACATTTTCTTCAACAGCAAAGCTAGTCATCTTCCTGACTGCCTCCACCTTGATCTGATTCTCTAGCCTGTCATACTTGGACTATTGCAGTAGCCTCCTGCCCAGTCTCTCTCTTTCACATGTTCTATTCTCCTGGCCTTTCTCTGCATGTACTGCTGTCACTGCCTGGAGTGCTCTCTCTCCAAACATCTGCATAGTTCATTCCTTCCTTTAAGGTGACTCCTTCCCTCATCTCCTACTAGCCTCAGCAGAGGGCTTCCCTGACACCCATCCAAAACAACCTCCTTCATGCAACCACTTTTTTTTCTTTCCTGAAAAGTATTAATCATAACCTGATATTATATTAGGTATTTTTTTATTTAATGACTGTGTTCCCACTAGACTGTGAAAAGGAGCAGAGACCGTGTTTGTCTTGGATACAGGTATGCCTGAGTACCTTCCCAGTTCAATATATACTTATTGAATGAATGTATAGATGAATGCATGCATGCATGTGTGAATGAATGAATGATGAGTGAATGAATGAATGGATGAATGAATGATTGGGCTAGTCTCACTCACCCTTTTGCAGTTCACCACTCACTTTGTTAGCTGGCCTTGTATCTCTCAAAATTTTGTGTTCTTGAGGTAACCTTTGGATGCCCAGATTTTTATACCTCATCTGTGGAGATTCTAGATGAGCAGGTCTAAGATGGAATGCAGGTATGTTGACCACACTCTGGGTGATGCTACAGCTGGGGACTGTGGAACTCCTGAGATGTATTGCGGGTGGCATAGGCTATTTGCTCTTTCCACCAAGATTCTCTGCATTTTCAGGCATCCCTGATTTTACTTGCTCTATCTCTTCTGCTCTCAATCTCTTTCACCAGTTATGGAAAATTCCACCAATTCATTCATTTAATCATTAACTAAACCTCCATAGGCTGGGTTGCCCTGGATGGTGATGCAGGCTCTGTACTGCACAAAGGTGCCCACCCCCGTGGCAGCCCTATCCCTAAGTGCTTACTGTGATCCAGGCCCAGATGAACAAGTCATAGTTCCTGCCACTATGGAGCTCACTGTCTAGTGGTAAAATAAAAAGGAACCCCAGTGTGAAAACCGTTATGGCAGAGGGACACTTGGTGGTCTGTGCAAGCCCAGAGGAGGCAGCTAATTCAGGGTAGGGGTCATGGAGGGCTTCTTGAAGGAAGAGATGCCCAACTGCACTGAACTGTAGTGGAAGATAGGGAGCAAAAGGTGTTCCAGAAATAGGGAGCAGCAGATGCAAAGGCTTGGATGTGTGAAATGCAGCCAGTACTCTGTCTCCTGAATGAGGCCTCCCTTCATCTCCTCTGCCCAAAACTAATTACGCTCTCCTTAGTGCCATTGGCCAGTGGGGGTGCCAAAGGGCGGGCATGGGACAGAGAGGCCAGCAGACTCAGTGGGGAGGAGAATTTTATCATTCCAGATGATTAAAATGCCTGGTTCATGGTGATAATAAAAAGCAGACTGGCTGTTGATCAGTTTTATTATTGCTTAAGGTTGTTGTTTTTTTTTTTAATAGACAGTGTGTCCCCACCCTTGCCTGCACTTGGGCAGACAGCTCCCCATCCCCCTTGGTTTGTCCACTGCTTTGGGTACAATTGGTTATAACTTGGATCCCACAGAAGTTTGGTTCCCTGTTATACATCAGCACCCCTGTTAGCTTGTGTTCCCTCAGAAGCCAATGCGAGGCAAGGATTTGAATGGTTTATTTAGGACCTGATTCCAGGAAATAGCAATAAGGGAGGAGAGGAGTGAGACAGGGAAGGGAAGGAAGCCTTAGGTGTTATGTGGTCAAGCCAAGGTTTCACCTCTTTGCATCTGGACATGAGTTGTCCCAATTGAGAGCAAAGGAACTGGGGTGTTTCTTGTCAAGATGCAGCCTGCCACAGGTTGAGTGAGGGCTGCTTCTGGGGGCGTGAAAAGCCCCCAGGCAGAGAATTGCAGAGTTTAGAGAAAGCAGCCTTTGGTGCTTCCTGGTGAGTGCTGAGGAGTGAGTGGGGCACTGTGGCAATTTGCTCCCCCCCCACCCCCCGCCCAGCCCATTAAGGGTGAGCCATGTCTTTGAAAGTTTCTGGCCCAGCAGCCACCATGGAGTAGGCACTAACATTTGTATACTGAAAGAATACGGTAAGCTCTGACTGTTGCACTAGGCTGTGAGTCCCCTGAGGGCCAGGACTGTGTTCTGTCCACCCTGGACCTCAGGGTCTCCATGGTTCTCCCTGGATGGGAACAAATAGGAGGGTCCTGTGGGGCTGGAGCTTGTCCATGTCTGCCCCTGGTCCATCCATCCAGCACTTTCTGTGGACTTACCTTTATTACCAAGAGTCTCGGTTGTTCCTGTGAGGCCTGTGTGCAGCTGAGAAGGTAAGCAGGTGGAAGGTGCCTTGTTAGCTGGGCACCCGCTGCCTGGGCGGTGGAGAGCCCATGGGCCCAGGATGATGGAAGAACATGGCCGGTGGCTGCAGCCACCAGTTCCTGGTTGCCAAGTAACAGCAATGTGAGTATTCCAAGTTATCTGGAAACCGTCTCCCTGGAAACTGTAGAGGTGAGCTAAGGGGCAGGTCCCATGTGGACCCGGAGGTAGAATCATTCACCGCTGGAATCCTTTTTCTGTTCCTTTTGCCTAGCATAAGCCCAACCACCTCACCTCCTCAAGGAAGCTCTCCATGATTAGTACTGCTCAGTACTAACTGAAACCCAAGACCTCCTACCCCCCTTTTCAGTGGGGTGCTCAGCATATTTGACATCTGGAAGAGAGAACTCTATTTTCAAATACTATAACTAATATCAGTCTATTAGGGTTTTTTTTGAAAGATTTTTTTGTGGTAAAATACACATAAAAAATTTAACTGTCTTAACTATTACAAGGGTATAGTTCAGTAGTATTAAGTACATTCACATTGTTGTGCACTCACTTCCACCATTATTTTCAGAACTCTTTTCATCTTGCAAAACTGAATCTCTGTGCCCATTAAACAACAACTCTCCATTCCTCCCTCCTCCCAGTCCCTGGCAACTACCATTCTACTTCTGTCTCTAAGGATTTGACTGTTCTAGGTACCTCATATAAGTGGAACCACACTGGATTTGTCTTTTTGTGACTGGCTTATATCACTTAAAACAATGCCTTCAAGGTTCATCTATGTTGTAGCATGTGCCAGGATTTCTTTCTAAGCCTTAACAGTATTTCATAGCCGATGTCTGTGTCTATCCACATTAATGTATGCACAGTGGGATACTTGTATCTATATCTGTCACATTTTGCTTATCTACTCGTCTGTTGATGGACACTTGGGTTGCTTCCACCTTTTGGTTGTTGTGAATAATGCTGCTATGAACATGGGCGTATACACATCTGTTTAAGACCCTGATTTCAATTATTTTGGGTATATACCCAGACATAGAATAACTGATCAATCATAATTCCATTTTTAATTTTTGGAGGAACCTCCATACTGTTTTCTTTGATGGCTGTACCATTTACATTCCCACCAACAGTGCACCAGTGTTCCTTTTTCTCCACATCCTTGCCAACACTTGCTATTTCCTGTTTTGTTGTTGTTGATTTGTTTTGTTTTTATAGTGACCACCTGATGGGTATGAGGTGGTATCTCACTGTGGTTTTGCATTTCCCCAATGATTAGTGATTTTGAGCATCTACTCGTGTGCTCTTTGGCTATTTCTATATCTTCTTTGAAGAAATTCCTATTCAAGTCCTTTGTCCATTTTTGAATTAGGTTGTGTTTTAAATAGCCATTATTTTTTTTTAGAGCAGTTTCAGATTCACGGTAAAATTGAGTGGAAGATACAGAGATTTCCCTTATGCCCCCTGTCTCCACACATGAGTGGCTTCCCCCTTTTACCAATGTTCTCTCTCAGAGTGGTGCGTTTGTTGTAACTGGTGAATCTACATTGACACATCACTATCGCCATAGTTCATACTTTACATTAGGGTTCACTCTTGGTGTTGTACATTCTATGGATTTGGACAAGTGTATGATGACATATTTCCACCATTACTGTTTTATACAGAGTGCCCCAATCCTCTGTGCTCCGCCTATTTGGCTCTCCCTACTCCTAACCTAAGACAGCCACTGATCTTTTCATCTTGCAAATTATGACTCCATAGTTTTGTCTTTTCCAATATGGTTGAAATCATACAGTATGTAGTCTTTTCAGACTGTCTTCTTTCACTTAGTAATATGCATTTAAGATTCTCCCTTGTGCTTTCACGGCAGCATTTTTTTTTTTT